CTGTTGATGGGCACTTAGGTTGTTTCCAAGAGTTGACTATTGTGAATAATGTTGCAATGAACATAGGGGCACATATATCTTTTCAAATTAATGTTTTTGTGTTCTGTGGATAAACACCCAGAAGTGGAACAGCTGGGTCATATGGTAGATCTATTTTTAATTTTTTGAGGAATCTCCACACTGTTTTCCATGGTGGCTGCACCAGTTTGTATTCCCAGCAGCAGTGTATGATGGTTCCCTTCTCTCCACATTATCTCCAACACTTGTTATTTCTTGTCTTTTTAATAATAGCCATTCTGATGGATGTGCAGTGATATCTCATTGTGTGTGGTTTTGATTTGCATTTCCCTAATAATTAGTGACGTTGAACATCTTTTCATGTGCCTGTTGGCCATCTATATTTCTTCTTTGGAAAAATTTCTGTTTAGATACTTTCTGCCCATTTTTTAATTGAGTTTTTTGTTGTTTTGTTGTTAAGTTATAGGAGTTCTTTATATAATTTGGATATTAACCTACTTATTGGAGATATGATTTGCAAATATCTCCTCCAAAATGGTGGGTTGTCTTTTCATTTTATTGATGGTTTCCTTTACTGTGCAGAAGCTTTTTAATTTGATGTGATCCCATTTATTTTTTCTTTTGTTTCCCTTGCCTGAGGAGACACGATATTCAAAAAGTGCTGCTAAGACTGATGTCAAAGAGCATTCTGCCTATGTTTCCTTTTGGAGTTTTATGGTTTCAGGTGTTACATTCAAGTCTGTAATCCATTTTGAGTTAATTTTTGTGTGTGGTGTAAGATGATGCTCCACTTTCATTCTTTTGCATGTGGCTGTCCATTTTCCCAACACCATTTATTGAAGAGACTTTCCTTTCTCCTTTGTATATTCTTGGCTCCTTTGTTGAAGATTAGCTGTCCATAGATGTATGAGTTTATTTCTGGGCTCTCAATTTTCTTCCACTGATCTGGGTGTCTATTTTTCTAATAGTACCATGCTATTTTGATTACTATAACTTTGTAGTATATTTTGAAATCAGGGAGTGTGATACCTCCAGCTTTATTTTTCTCTCTCAAGATCTCTTTGGTTATTTGGGGTCTTTTGCTGTTCCATAGAAACTTTAGGATTCTTCTATTTCTGTGAAAAAAGGTCTTTGGGATTTCAATAGAGATTGCATTGAATCTGTAGATTGCTTTAGGACGTATGGACAATTTATCTATGGTAATTCTTCCAATCTATGAGCACAGAATATCTTTCCCTTTCTTTGTGTTTTCTTCAATTTCTTTCAACAATGTTTTATAGTTTTCAGTGTACAGGTCTTTTACCTCTTTGGTTAAATTCATTCCTAGGTATTTTATTTTTTTGTTGCAACTGTAAATCAGATTATATTCTTGATTTCTCTCTCTGCTATTTTGTTGTTGGTGTATAGAAATGCTACCGATCTTTGTATGTTGATTTTACTTTACTGAATTTGCTTGTTATTTCTAAAAGATTTTTGGTGGATTCTTTAGGGTTTTCTGTATATAAAATTGTGTCACCTGCAAATAATGACAGTTTTACTTCTTCCTTTCTAACTTGGATCCCTTTTATTTCTTTTTCTTGCCTAATTGCTCTGGCTAGAACTTCCAATACTATGTTGAGTAAGAATGGTGAAAGTGGGCACCCTTGTCTGGTTGCTGTTCTTTGGGGGATAGCATTCAGTTTTTTGCCATTGAGTAGGATGTTAGCTGTGGGTTTGTCATATATGGCGTTTATTATGTTGAGGTACTTTGTATACCCATTTTATTCAGAGTTTTTATCATAAATGAATGCTGTATCAAATACTTTCTCTGTGTCTATTTAGATGACCATGTGATTTTTACTCTTCATTTTGTTAATGTGGTATTTCATGTTGATTGCTTTGCAGATATTGAACTATCCTTGCATCCCTGGAATAAATCTCACTTGATCATGGTGTGTGAGCCTTTTAATGTATTATTGTATTCAATTTGCTAATATTTTGTTGAGGATGCACATTTTGTTTATCCATTCATTAACTGATGACATTTGGGTTGTTTCTACATTTTGGCTATCATGAGTAATGCTGCTATGAAGATTTGTGTATAAGATGTTATGTGAACATGTCTTCATTTCTCTTGGGTGTGTACCTAGGAGTAGAATTAATGAGTAATATGGTGACTCTATGTTTAACTGTTTGAGGAGCCACCAAACTGTTTTCTAAAGTGGCTGCATCATCTTACATCCCCGTGAGCAAGGTAAGGGTTCCGCTTTCTCCACATCCTTTCCAAAATTTTTTATATACCTTTAAAAAATTATAGTTATCCTCATGTATGAAGTGGAATATCATTGTGGTTTTGATTTGCATTTCCCTAATGACTAATCTGTTGAACATCTTTTCATGCATCTTTCTACACGAATGCTCATTGGCCATTTGTATATACTCTTTGGAGAAATGTCTATTCAAATTCTTTGCTCATTTTAACATTGAGTTATTTGTCTTATAACTGAATTATGAGTTCTTTACAGATTCTAAAAACAAGTCCTTATGAGATATATTATTTGCAAATATTTTTTCCCATTCTGTGGTTTGTCTTTTTAATTTCTTGATGGTGTCCTTTGAAGCACAAAAGGGTTTAATTTTGATGACATCCAATTGATCAATTTTTTTTCTTTTTTTGCTTGTGGTATTATGTCAAAGAAATAATCACTTAATACAAAATCATGAAGATTTATGCTTATGTTTGCTTCTAAGAGTATTTTAATTTTAGCTCTTACTTTTGGTTCTTTGATCCATTTTGAGTTAATTTTTTTATATGCTGTGAGATAGGGGTCCATTTTCATTCTTTTGTTGGTGCATATCCAGTTGTCCCAAAATCTTTTTTCTTGAGGGATATTTTTGCTGAGCTAACATCTGTGCCAATCTCTCTCCACTTTGTACATGGGTCACCACCACAGCATGGCTTGATGAGCAGTCTGTGGGTACACGTCCGGGATCTGAACCCAAAAACCCTGGGCCACCAAAGCAGAGCGCATGAACTTAACCACTACACCACTGGGCCAGCTCCCAAAAGCAGTTTTTGAAAATAATATTCTTTCCCCTGTTGTCTTGTTTTGACACCCTTGGTGAAAATCAGTTGACCACAGATGCAGCTATTTGATGTTTTATTTCTGTTTGTCCTCCCAACTTCTTATTTTGAAAAATTTAAATTGCAAACCTTGACTCTTATTTCAGTTAGCTATTTCTTCCTAACTAATCTTTCCCTGGTAGTTGGTTGGGCTGTTGGCCTGGCACCTTGCTTCTTCTCCACATGCCCTCTCCAGCAGGCAGCCTCAGGCTTCCTCGCAGGGCCCTGGGTTCCAAAGGGAGGGAAGTGGAGATCGTGAGACTTCAGGAGGTCTTGCTTGGAGTTACGTGGTGTCATGTGTGCTACACACTATTGGTCAAAGCAAGTCATAAGGCTGGCCCAGCTTAGAAGGGTGGAGAAATAGACTATGTCTCTTGATGGAAGAAGCTGCAAAGAATCTTTGACCATTTTTAATTCATAACAATCTCTAAACACACCAGTGTGTAGCTCCTAAGAACAAGGAAATTCTCTTGGATTATACAGGGATTACACATGGTTGTAAAATAAGTCTTCCCAGAGGAGGGGATGTTTCATAGCAACCAGAATGAAGTGAGGGAGTGTGGCATGGGGAAGAGTATTAAAAGCAGGAGGAAGAGCATGTGCAAAGGCCCTGGGGCTGGAAAGCGTTTAGTGTGTTTGAGGAACAGCACAGAGACCAGTGTGACAAGGAGAGAAGGTGGGGCTGTTGTGAACGTCAAATGGGATAAAATATGTAAACATGTTATATTATGGGATGATAGCATGGTGGACTATTTCTCATCCCTGTGATTCTCTCAAGATGTTTCCCGAGGGTGGGAGAAGACAGAAAAGGAAATGCCTTCAGTAATTGCACCCAGCTAGGTCAGGGACAAGGACAAGCCTCAGGGATGCCACATCTACCTGAGTGTCTGGGTGCCACTAACTCCTGCTGCCCAAAGCTGGCGCCGCCTCAGGACCCTGGACCAGTCCACCCAGGTGGGCTGAGCATCTGCCTCGGAGTTCCTTCTTTCTGGCTGCTCAGCGCCAGCTAGATAGCCCTTCCATGTCACATCTGGCTGGCTACCCCAGCCCATTCTGGCACTCAGGGTCCCTGGTTCCTGTGCCTCCTATGGGACAAGAGGCTTTAGAGGTCTGAGCATTGAGGGGTGCAGGGCTTGCCCCCAGGGCTGTTCTGGGTCCTGGGGCCTGTGCCAGAGTCCATAGGAACCCTGCCGTGCTCTGAGCCAGGCACTTACAGAGCCACACTAGCCTACCAGGTGACCTCAAGTGGAGGCAAGGCCTGATCACTTTTGCTTTTTGAGCCTTTCAGTATATTTAAAATAATAATAATAATAATAGGAGACAGACAAAACAGGATTGCAAGCATTGGTGTATTTTCCATGTATTAACAAATTGATAATTTTTTAGTCTGCAAAAATACTGTAGAAATCATTTGTGCTGTTCACACCGTAGCCATGGACTTGCTGGAAACCTTATTTTATAGTGCAGCCCGAGGTTATCGGTACCCAGTGGGCAGCAGCTTCGTTCTGTCCTGCCTGTGTGACTCTGGGTCCAACTTCATTTGGAGGGAAGGTCGCCCAGGAAGTCCTCCTTAGCATGCTCAGCCGAGGGGAGTGGGGCCTTGGCAGCGGGGGAGCTCTGTTCACACACAGGTTGGGGCGCCCACCCTGCAGGAGGGCAGGGGCCCAGGGGTCAGGAGGGAGCTGGGGCACCTCACTGTGCTACCCAGCTCCCTTCATCCAGTCTGAGAGTTAGAAGGTCTCCTCTCTCTCTTTTTCTCTCTCTTTCTTTCTCTGTCTCTCTCGTCTCATTCTCTCTCTGTCTCTCTCTCCTCTGTCTGTCTGTCTGCCTCTGTCTATTTCTCTCTCACTTCTGTCTTTCTCTCTCTCATTCCAGATGCCAACGCGGGGCCTTCCCACCCCCACCACCTGGCTTCCCAACGTTAAAGCTGCAACTGGACATCTCAGGGTTGGGAAACAGCAGAAGGTCGCTGGTGGGGTGGGGACTTTCTTCTCCCCGGGCTGGCTGTCTCCCAGCTGGAGGGCCAGCCATCCCTGCCCCAGGACTGCCTGCCGCGTGCGGTTTCTGGCCTTGGCTGTGACCAGGGCGGTGGTGTCTGGTGTCTCGGGGGGCCCCGCACGGCTGGAGCAAACTGAGGACACGGTGGACGGGCGTCGGGCATTCCTGGTGAGTCTGCCCACACTCTGCGTGGGGAGAACGCTCTGGAGAGGCGTTTCCTCTCGTGGTCTCCTTCTGACTGTCTTCTCTAACCAGTTACTATTTTCCGCAGATGCTGGGAAATAGGGATGTGTGTGGCCATCACAGGGCTTCTCCTCTTACTGGGCCAGGCGTGGGCCCTGCAGTGCTGGGGGCATGAGGGTGACATTGTCCCAGCTGGCTGAAGGCACAGCGCAGCCTGGCTCAGCTGCACAAATGTGGTGTTTAAATATTTATTTTTAGTGGCCATTGGTTAAATAGCAGCCTTCATTTTGGAGGGGGCCACCCTGAGAAGTAAAAATAAATCAGATCTTTGCCTTGTCAGTAAGTCCTACCAACCCCTGCTGGGTGGACCCTGGGCCCAGTGCCCCAAATGTCCAGGGCGAGCAGTGAGACCAGTGATTTGAGGGCCCATGGGGAGCCAGGCTGGCGGGTGACCGCAGCTCCTCACAGAAGACCACAGCACAGCCTCCCAGGCCCAGCCTGTGCCCGGCTCACCTGCCTCCTGCGGGGCCCTTCAGAGTCCGGCAGACCACTGCTCAGGGCTGGGGGGCCTGGGGCTCATGTGGGCGCTTGCTGACCTCTCAGGTCAGGAGGTCCTGGCTGCTCTAGGAGGCACAGGAGACCCTGTCAGCCCTGGATTGGCTTAAACGCTCTGGAAATCATCTGTGTTTCCTGCCAGCACCAGCTCTCGGGGTTACCCCCGCTGGGCCCCTCCTGCTTGGTCCAGCCTGGGCTGGCCCTGGAGGTGAGGGGACATCGCTTCTCCTTGTGCTAGCATCGGAGGGCGTGGGCGAGGCTGCGTGCACCCTGGAATTTGGATTTGAGAATGTTGGGTGGTGGGACCTGGCCCCACAGTGGAAAGGGCAGCTGGCCATGGGGGGTCTTGGAGGCCACAGCCTCAAAGTCCCTGGCCGAACCCGCCCCTATCCTGCTCGTCGGGGGCCTGGCATCCCCAGCAGAGAGGGCTTTTCTCGGCTCCAGCTCCGTCTCCAGGGGAGTCTGGGCGCAGCAGGCCTGCTCGGGCAGAGTGACGCCTGGGGCAGAGACCTCCTGCCCTTTACCGTCCTCTGCTTTCAGACGTGAAGACAGGCTCCCCAGGTCAGAGCTCTCGTAAAGTGATGCAGGTTCGAAGCCAGAGCTGTCTCTGGGCTTTCCACCCTCTTCCCGGCTGCCTCTGTGTCAAGTCCCTTACTGGCTGGGCACCTCAGACGGGACGGATTATTTTATCACAGTGTTTCTCAGAATCAAATAATGTAGGACCATCCGCCCTCCTTTTAGAGGGAAAAATTCTCTTGAGTCCCTAGTATTGATTTAAATTATTTGTATTATAATGTTATTTAAATACATGAAAACATGAGAGCAGGAATCACCCGTTATGTTTACAGCCGTTATGGAACCATACCACCCAGACCATTCACAAATTAGAAACAAAGAAAAAGAAGAAAGAGATTCCAGTGAACAACATTAACCTAACGAGGTGGGTGACACCATCTGGCTGAAGTGACTGCTCAGAGCCCACTGGGCCTGCGGGGTCTCCCCCATTGTCTTTCCTTGAACTGTGGGGCCTGTTGGGTGCACACGACATGGTGTTGTCATCTGGTCCCCCGCATGTTGAGGACACGAGCACATTCACCCACTTGGACCCCATCCACAGGACAGAACACCATGGGGTGAAGACAGGGTCTGCCTCCTGGTCGCTGAGCAGAGCTCCAAAGACATGGGACGCTGGCCAGGGAAGTGTTGGGGCAGGACTGGAGCAAGAGACAGCAGCGCCCGCGTGGAATGGGGAGCCCTGGGCTTGGAGCAGGGAGAGGCCAGGAAATCTTTTGCCCAGGGCTAAGATGGTGGGAAAATCTTGTGGCCACATGTGAATGGGTGAAATCAGAATCACGTTCCTGTCCTTTGTCCCAGGGAAGAGCAGCCCCCAAGCCCTGCCCCACAGGTTCCCCTGCGAGCTGCTGCCTGGCCTGGGCCCCTGGGAGCGGGCCAATTGTGCTGCTGACTACCACGGGCGTTAGAGGCCCTGCTGGGCCCTCACTGCCCCTGACCAGCCCCAGGGCCTCTGAGAATGAAGGCCAGGGCAGCAGAGGGCCAGGCCCCAAGAAAGGACTGCCAGGCAGGGAGAGGCCACCCACTCTTGACCTGAGAACGACTGACAGCTCAGGAGCACTAACCCTGCCTCCTGTGGCCGACTGACAGATCTGAACCCCACACTGAGGGACAGACCTGGTTCTGTCTCTGTTCTTGGTTACCACATCCAGCCTCCTCTCAGACTGAGTGGGACTGCCAAGAAGTGTGTGTCCCCTTGTCTCTCGGGCCTCCCATTCAGAGCCTCTCCACTTAGTAGCTGATTGTCCTTGGGTTTGTCAATTGACCTCTCTGGGCAGGGTTTCCTAGTCTGTGAAATGAGCCCATGTGTGGATTCCATGAGGTAATTCAGATCTTCTGCATTAGATGCTGGCTCACTTTCATCTATCTATAAGATATATGTATACGCATATATACATATATGTGTAGATGTAGTTATAATTTTGTTAGCAAGCTGAACACAACAGCAGCAGTAACAACTCGAGCTCCTCTGCAGGTACCTGGGACGCCGGGATTTGCCTCAGCAGAAGACGGAAACCACGTGCCCCCAGTTGGGAGTGCATTGGGGTGAAATGGTCACGGGCAGCGAGCCTCGGCAGTGACACAGCCCACATCCATTTTGCTTGTCCTGGTTTCATCTGGGAGCAGGGAAGCCACACAACTCTTCAGCTTCAGGAAGGGAATCTTGGTCAGGCAACATCACTCTTCAGTCAGGAGGTCTTGCCTGCTGGTGGCCCTCGGCCCATCACTCCACTTCTCTCAGCCTTCATTCCTCACTGTGAACACCCCGTGGGAACTGTGGCGACATGAAAACCCTTTGGAAGGATTATAAGCAAGGCCAAAGTTACATCGTGGCCTCGGATCTCTTTTGGAAGTAGACGATGTGTAAATTATTAATAAAGGAGATGCAAAATGCTATATTAGACTTTCCATGCCCAGAACCATCTAGGTAGCGTGGTGAGTCTCCTGGGTCCTGAACCTGCCCCTTCGGAGCTCTGCTTCATGAGAGTTGCCAGAGCTTTTACTTTCCCAGGAAAGATCCTGCCTTCAGACTCCCTGGACTGGATGGGGACAGAGCATTTACCTTGCCAAGCCATGAGGAGGAGGAGCTGTCCTTCTATGGGGTTGCTAAGCCAGCAGGATGTACATTTCTAGCTTCCCTCATAATGGGAGGCTCGCCTGTGTTAATGCCAAGATGGAGACATGAAGAGGGAGACCCTGGATCGTGCTGTGCCTGAAGCCATCTACTCAAACATCTCAGTTATCCCACCAGCACTCCTCTCCCCTTTTTTCTTACAGAAGCTGGTTTTCAGCTGAAAGCATCTTGACCTCTCCACGTACTGTTATGGAGTAAGAAACATGTGGACCTGCTCATTTGTCCACTCACAGGCTACCACTGTGCCAGGCCCTGGGATGATGCTTGGGGCACAGGATGACCTGCATCCTCAATTAGGGCCTCAGTCAACTGAGGGGGCAGACGTGAGGCAAATCCACGCTGCCTTGTGCTGAGTATCGGTGCGGAGAGCAACTGACTGAAGGAGGGCTTCCCAGAGGAGGGGACATGTGCCTTGAACTCGAGGGAAGGATGGGGCTTTGCTAGAGAGAGAAGAGGCCATGTGGGCACAGGCCAAGCAGCTGACAGAACACGGAGTGTGTGAAGAAACCACAAGCGAGGAGCTGGCAGCCGGCGTTCCCTGTGCCGGAGAGGGTGGGAATGGTGGGAAGACAGCTGTGGCCCCCACCCCGGCTCCTGCAGGGGCCCCAGGGCCAGCCCTCTGACTCCGTCCCCGCCTGGAGTGTTGGCAAGAAGAGACCGAAGGGAAACGGGGTGACACGCATGGCTGAGAGCAGTGGGGAGGGAGGGGATAAAACCATTCCCTTTCCAGCTCTGAAGCGCAAAGAAGTGTCTTTCCTCCTGCACAGCTGGACTTCCTGTAGCTGGAAAGAAGTAGATTAATGCCATGTTTTCTGATGCCCCCCCTGGGCCGAGCAGGGCCCGAGAGGCCGGCGCGCTCACAGTTGGCCTGGCCGCCCTTGATAGCTCAGTGACTGTCCCGCTGGCCCGGCCCTGGGCCCCCGGCTCCAAAGCCAGGCTGGAGAAACTTGGCTCCATGGCAGCTTTCAAAATAAAGTGGTTTTTATTTCATATTCACCAGAGAGGTTACAAAATATAATTGGGGTTGCTGCTTCTCATATTATTTATGCAATTCTCCCCTGTGTCCCTGCCCAAAAGCAACTCACAAAAGGGTCTTTGTTCTCCGCAAGTTCAAAGTCAGCTGCTCCAACGGGAAACGGATTGGCGATTACAAGGAGGAGGCTGAGTTTTACTGGCTGTCAGACCAGGAATATGGGATGCGTCGGGGTTCCAGCAGGAGCCCATGAGTGTGCGGTTTGCCGGCTGCAGAGGCCTGTGTGAACGGGTTCCCAGTGCGAGATGAGGGCCAGCAGCAGGAGGGGGCGGTGGGGGAAAGCCCGCTTTCGCCCCTGTGGGCTGGGCCGCCTCGCCACGCACCCTGCCTCCACGGCCCCGAGTTCCCCACCCACAGAACAGGGTGCCAGCACACTAGGCTGCATCAGAAGGTTTGTTCCATTCCTCGGAGCTCTGGGGCTCTGCTGAGGGTCTCCGAACTGGGTGGGCAGGGCTCCAGGCATCCACGCCCACTCCTGCCCTTCAGATGTTTTGACTGATTGAACGAACATCCAGGTCAGATTTTATTTAAAGAAAATGTATTTTCAGTGGACATTTGCAGAGGGCTGACCTGGAGTCAGGGAGGCCTGGGAAGTGCTGGGCCCTGGAGACTGTGGGGTCGGAGGCTCAAAGTCCCGGGTCCTGTGTAGCCTTGAGCAGAGCGGCTAGCCTTTCTGGGCCTCATCTGTCCTTCTGGGAAGTGGAGTCACAGCTGCCCGACAGGAGCTGAGTGCAGGGCTGGGGGACTGTGGTGCTTGGAGGTGCAGAGGTTTCAGACTTCCCCTGCCCTGGGGCACCTGCTGCTTGGTCGAGCCAGCCTTCCACGGGTTGGAGAGCTTGCCTGTAGCACCTGGCATCCCTTGTCTAGCACACGCCCATCACCAAGGTGTGCCCTCACTGAGAGCAGGAGTGGCAGGGGCTCAGTACTGTCGGCCCCAAGCTGTGACTCTGGCGCTAACCCACAGGGGGCGATCCAGCTCAGAGCATCCTGCCGTGGGGGGCTTGCTCCCAGCATCCTGGAGGAAACACTGAGCAGGTGGCACCTCCAGAACCTCCGTTAAGGGCGCCTCACCTCACCATGGTGGTCCCAGGGTGGGGGAACCCATGAGGACCTCAGTTGCCAGCCTTATTGGGGCCCCAGGACACAGCAGACCCATAGGGGCCCTCCGGGAGGATGTCCTGGCTTCCCTGGACATAAAGCTGTCCCAGGACCTACGCCTCATTGAGGGGCCTCAAGGCCGAGGCCCTGGGCCTGGCCTCTCCTCCCCGCCACAGTGGAGCCCCTGCAGGCCTGACCATCAGACCCCGGGGCCCACCATCTCCCAGTTTTCATTCTAGCAACAAGACAGCCCAGGAGTTTGGGGGTGGGGCAGGGATGTGTCCCAGTTGGCTGTCCTCGCCATGGGGCTCTTCTCCATCCCTCGGGGCGGGAGGGGGCTGTTGGAGTGAGAGGGAAGGAGTCCTGCCCTCCCCTTTGCAAGGAGCCAGAGCTTCACTTGGGAGGCCTGCGATGTTTATGCAGTTCCAGGGCCACACTGGGCCAGGGCAGGGAACTGAGGACGGGAGTGGGAGGGGCTTTAGGAAAACCAGACCTACCACCTTCCCTCTGGCCCTCCCAAGAGATGCAGCTCTCCCTAGTGAGATGCTCTGGGAGTAGGGAGAGGGACATGGAGGGGAGGAGAGCTGGCTTCATGTGTGAGCTTCATGAAAGCCAGACGGAGATGGAGAGTCTTGGAGGTCCTCTCCGCCAGGATTCCAGATCTTTCCAGAGTGATCTCAGGGCTTTGCAAAGCAGAAACCAGGCCCAGATGGAAGCCCACAGGGAGACCTCACCCAGGGCTGTCGGCTCTTCAGAAATGTCCCTTCCTGTGGCTGCAAGACTGTGGGTGAATCCTGGGGTCCGGGCTTGGCTGCTGTGAGCCGCTGCCTCCCGGCTGATAAACATCGGCCCAGGGAGCTGAGACACCGAGGCCCTGGAGAAGACCAGTGCAGGTGAGAGGTGCTCTGCTAAAACCACAGCTTGGGGGTGGCGTCTCCACTCACACCCCGTACGGGAAAGCAGCTATTTCTACAATAACGGCTTCCACATCGATGGAAGGACCACCAGCAGGGCTGCAGGTAATCTCTGCGATCACGGGTCCTGTCCTCCCAGACACTAGGCACTGTGGGAGGGGGAGGCTCGGCCAGGCCCACCTGGGGTGCCCTGGTCCACCACGGAGGACGGACCGTGATTCTCCCCATTTTACACTCAGGGAAACCAAGGTTCACAAAGCCAGGAGGGGTAAGGTTGGGGCTGCGGGTCATGCCGGAGTCTGCTGGCTCCAATCCGGGTGCTCTTTACTGTGTGATAACGGAGCAGGGAAGGACGCCCATGTTCACACTGCATGGTAGGGAGCATGCTCTACACCATGTCTGGACAGTGGGTATCATTTTACGGATAAGAAACTGAGGATCAGAGAGGTTAAGTAACTTGTGCCGAGTGAGCTAAGATTGAAACTCCGGCCTACCTGACCCCGAAGGTCTCACCCACCCTGCCCCGCAGGGCTCTGCTGCCTTTGCGCGCTGCCTCCCTAGAGCTCGCCTTGGCCGTCCGTAAAGCTTCCCTGGGGAGCTAGGAAAAGGGCCCTTGTCTGGACTCCAGCCCCAGAGCTTCTAACCCGGCTGGCTGGGGTGCAGCCTGGGGGTCAGGGGTTGTCAGAGCTCCCCAGGGCCTTCCACGGGGTGGGGCTCACAGCTTGAAAGGGAGTGCCATCCGCTGGGAAGGCCCAGGTGGGTCCCGGGCATCCTGTCTCCCATCCAGCACCCCCTACCCAGGAGAGCGGAGGGGGTGGGGGGCTGGGCTTGGCCCCGGCCCTGCACGCCATGAAGGAGCTGGGTCTGGCTTGACTAAGTCTTGGCCTCTTTAAACAACCCCCCTTGATTTGAGGCGCCTTCTCAGAGTGAAATCCCCTTTTTTGGTAAACACACGGGGCTTACTTCACCTCCTCTGGCCTCCTGACCACCCGGGCAGACGTCAAATGGCCTAGCTCATTTATTGTCAGTCTCCTCACCGAGACAGATCCCCATGGCAGAAGGACCTTGGCTCTTGCGTCCATCATGGTGTCCCTTGTCTAGCGCAGTGGCCTGGCCCACGGAAGGTATGTGATCCAAGCGTGTGGAACAAATGAATGAACAACGGGAGGGGGTCCCACCCATCAGGGTGTGGATGTCCTGTCTGGCTTGAGGCTGAAAAGTCAAGACCCCCGGTGACTAAGCCAGTCCTCGAGAGCCCTTGGCCCAGCGGGCTGAACAGGAAACCACTGGAAGGCAAGCCCTCCCTCAGGAGAGCGGGGTCTCTGCCTCCACCCCAGGGGCCCTCTCCTGGTCACCCTGGAACCAGCCCAGCCGAAGGGCCAGGCCCTCTGAGAGCCTGGGGCCCTGCCTGGGATGCGAAGGAGCTGGCAGACCCCGGACAAGCTCCAAGTCAGCTTGGGCTGGGCCCCAGGGGTCTGGGGAGCCTTGCCTACCCCTGTACCCTAAAACTACCCCAGGCTGGTTCCCAGAAGGGCCGGGTATGGGGTCCACTCCATTCAGAGTGGGTAGTCTGACCCCCAAATGAGCTGCGGGCCAGCAATGGGTGACCACGGCTCTCTTGACCATGGCCTCAGTCAGGTGGGCTCACCAGGGCCTAAATTCACTCCCCGTCCCCCTCACTCTCCCCAGCAGGTGCAGGGCTGGTTGGTGAAGAGGCTCACCCTCTCCTCCGTCCTCAGCCCCAACGCTCCCCAAACCTGTGCATTAGAGCTGTGCTGGAGTTCTTCACGTCTCTACCAGGTAGCTCAGCCCCCGTGGTCCCTGCAGCCAGTGGGACCTGGCTGCCATGGCTTCATGAGGAACAGATTGTTCCTTGGGTAACTGAGATGCTCTCGATTCTGCCTCTTTTGCTGCTGGCACACTTTCATTCTAATCATTTGGATGTGATTCATTTCATTAGTGGTTAGCAAAGCCGTGCAGTTTCTAGGACGTTTTGATGACACACGGTGACAGCAGGATGGAGTTTCTGAAATTAGGATTGTCTAGGGAAAGTTGGGGTGTCTGGTGATCCCCTGATAGATATAAATGCCATGAGTGACGAGAAGGGATGAGGGACCCCCAAGGACGGCTGAGATGGGCTTGGGGAGGTCATGATGGGCGGATGGGGTCTGTGCTGAGTTGGAAGGTGAGTGGGTTCTGGAAGGGAGCAGCTGCATTCTAGGGAAAGGAGTTCCAAAGGGGCAGAAATCAGAGACAGATGGTGTGTCCCAGGAGAATCCCTGGGGGAGGCAGGACATGTTGAGGAGAGCCTTGAATGCCACATCAAGGAGCTGGAATTTTAGGTGGCAGGTGAAGGATAAAGGGAGCGACTCCATCCCTCTGTGGTCAGGACCCAGCAAGTGACCAGGGTGCAACCAAAGTTTAGAAAAGGCCTAAGGTCTGCTGGGTTTGTAAGTGGGTCCCCTCCTTTGGCATCCTGTGGGGTGAGTTGCGCCCAGGGCTGGCCACCCTCTGAGCACCCACAGGAGCTGCTCAGGGCCTCAAGGCAGCTGCTGCTGAGCCTGGCGTCTCCCCGCACAGCCCCAGCTATTCCCAAGCTGTTCCTGCCAGCCCTGGCTGTTGTTCAGAGATCTCAGCAGGACCAAGGACAAATCAGCTCCCAAATATGTGTCCTTGGGACCACAGTACCTGGCCAGCCTGGGCCCTTTGTTCCCCAACCCTGCACTTGGCTCAGGAGGAGCCGGCTCCTCAAAGTCGGGCCCTCCAAGCTATGCTGGCAGGCTGCTCCATGAACCGTGTGGGGGGTAATTTAGAGTGAAGAATTGCCTCGGCGCAAGCCCCTTGAACCCCAGGGCTTAGCTTTCAAGACATTTACTGATGTGATGGATTATTTTGTGAGAAGAATTTTGAAAGTTCTGGTCAGAAAGGAAGAAAGGAGAGAGAGGGAGGAGGAGAGAGAGAGGAGGAAGGAAGGAAGGAAGGAGGAAGGAGGAAGAAAGAAAGGGAGGGGAGGAGGACGGAAATTAGTTAACTAGCTGAAAAGCCTCCGAGCCTCTGCGGGGGTTGCAGAGCTGTCGCTGTGGTTTCTAGCACGCTCTTCAGCCCACAGTTGGGCCTTTCTTGCTATTTTGAGAAGCAATCAGGTCCCTTGTTACCACTAATCCTGTTTTCTTGGACCACGGCAACTGGTTCCTTGACTGTTGACTTCCCCAGGCTGAAAGCAGCACAGCAATTTTTAAAAATTGTATAAACAATGTTACAATGTGTCGTGAAGACAATAAGTGACTCGAATATTTGTTGTTGTTGCCATAATGTCGTCTGTGCAGTAAATATCCCAAGAAGGAAGAAAAGACAGCCCTGACCCCAGCATCCCCATGCTGCTGTTGCCATTCTGGTCTTTTCCTCATCCTCCTTGTGATCTCAAGCAGATACATCGTGTTTTACTTTCACGTATCCTATTGTTACACATTTACCTGGTTTCCAGACATACCTGGGATACATAACACCGCAGTGAACATCTCCATGCATGGGACCTTTTTCTCCTGCTGAAATATTTCCTTATGATGAACTTCTTAGACAGGAACTATTGTGTAAAATAGAAGAGGCTTTTTCAGGGCTTCTTAAGCACAATGCCAAGCGGCTTCTCACCAGCATCCTGCGCTGAGGACCGTCTTTGTGTTTTGATTCAAGCATTGCATCCTGAGCTTGATTCCCAGCAGCAGGCAGGCCCTGCACAGGTCTGAGCACAGATGCTCGGGGAAGGTACTCTGCATGGAGCGCTGCGGGGCTCCAGGACGGGCACAACCACGACACAGTGGATGGGGAGGGCTGGCTGTCTTCACTCCAGTGACCCCCTGGCATCTCAGACTCAGTCTTCCCCAATCAGAGCCCACCGTCTCGTCACCCGGAGACCCCACCGACTCCCCAACGCATGCCCCCAGATCTCTCGCCAAGGCCTTTCAAATGTGTCTCCTAACTATTGCCCTGTATGCAAGTTTTACCTCAATTTTAAAAAAAGATAATGAAAAAATCTACTTCCCTAATCCTATCCTTCTTTCGACTCTGGCCAGCAGTTCAGTTCAGACCCTGGTACGGGACTAGGCTCCAGCACCTTCTTCCTGGCCCCCAGCCTGCAGCCAGACTGCCTGCCATGGAGTCATCTCTAGGGCCCCACTCCAGGTCTGAGAGCCGGGCCTGCAGGCTGACACCTCTGGCTGGCTCCCTGGGTGATCTTTGTGCTCCCTGAGGGAGAGAACTGTCCTGTAAGAGGAGGTCCACACACCCTGGCAGAGCTCGACTTCTAACTCTTGTCTCATTTGCTGCTACTTACTTCTTTACATTTTGGTCTCCAGGAACACCAAAGAAGTTGTAATCTTTCCCCCACCACTGCACACACACACACGAAACACACACACACACATGCATGGGTGTGCAGGTGCTCTAAGTCAGTCACGGCTCCATGCCTCTCCCTGCCCAGGCTGTGCCCCTGCCAGGTCCACCTCCCTAACTCCCCCAGGGAGGGTCCTCTCCCTCCAGGACACTGTCTTCTCAACCCAGGTCAGTCTTGATGGCTTGGTTCTCTCAGCAGACACCAGCTGGGGTCAAGCACTTTCGGGGGAGGGGTGCAGGTGGGAGAGAAGCAGGGTGGGCATCAGGAAACCCCACCTTAGAATTTAAAATGGAGGCAGAATGACTTAGCACACATATCACGTGTGAATGTGTGTATGTGTCTATACACGTATACCTACATTCATACATATGTGATGAAGGGCCATATTTTCAGAACAAATAAACTAAATCCTTATCTGACAAAATATTTTTTTCCTGATTTGTGAATTTATATGTATGAAAAGCCCCATAAAAGTATAAAATTAAAATATAATTTGTTTTCAGTACACAAAACCACATAAAGAATAACAGGACATGAACAAAAATTGGAAAACTGCAAACAATGCATCCCTTAATGGGATATTTGAAAGTTTGAAGTGGGAACTTCATGCCCAGCTCTCATAGCCTGGACAGGCTGAAGCTCTCTTTTCTTCAGAACTAGGCTGTGGGTCACAGGGACTCTGATGAACTTCATATTGGTGGCCTGAGAGGGGACGGGCGTGGCGAGGGGCAGGCTCCGGGGCAGGGCGGGCGCAGACTCCTTCTATCTCTGTGTCTCCATCCATCCTCTGAGACTGTACCAGGCCACGTGCCCCGAGGCTGCCCTGGAGGGATTCGTTGCTTAGCAAGGAGAATGCTGCAGGGAGGTCACCCAAGGCAGGAGTTGCCCCCTCTATGGTCCTTGTATGGCTGCTGAGCAAGGAGCCCCAGAGCCAGGAGCACCTGCTTATGAAATAGATTGGACGGGGCAAACCCACAGGCATCACAGGGATCTTGTTTGGAATCCTGCATGCAGCTGTGGGGCATCAGCCTGTGCTGTCCCCTGCGTCGGGAGCTGGACGAGAGCCCGAGCGGACGCCACGGACACGGCAGAGTGCGCTCCTCTTCTAAGGCAGGTCCTGGTGTCCTCACACTGCCTTTTGTCCCTGCTGCAGTTCACTGATTGCTGGCGAAACCTGGGATATAAGCAAACATCCTAGAGAGCCCCTCTGATTGGGTGCCCACAGAGACAGGGCACCCACGTCCCTCCAGGAATGGCTGATGCTTCCTCGCAGGCCTCCTGCTCTGGGAGAAATGAAGAAGTTTCTTTCAGTTTCCAGTTGGGGAAGTCAGAGCCCAGGTGCAAGGCGTGCAGCTGCTACACCTATGGGGGCGGGGAGGGGGCCCAACAGCAGCATCTGGGCCCAGACGTCAGGGTGGGCTGGCAGGAGGCACAGTGAGGATGGGAGTCGAAGGAGGACCAGAGGCTGGAGCTGGACAAGAGGTTGGGACCAGGATATGGGCCCTCCCTCCTGGCAGCACATCCGGACCCCCAGCTTCATCTCTGCTTCTTTCTCCTGGATGCGTCAGATCTTTTTAAGATTGAAAAATATTCCAGTGTCTGGAAAGACCACATTTTGTTTATCCATTCATCTGTCAGTGGACACTTAGATTGTTTCCACTTTTTGGCTACTGTGAATAATGCTGCTATGAACATTGGTGTGCTGCTTTCTTTTAAAAAATTATGTCATGTATGTTTTCCTTACTGGTGTCTGCCTGGAGTGGGGGTCAGGAAGCAGAGGGGGAGAGGACTCCCAGCTGACTCCTCCTGTAACGCTGCCTCAGCAGGGCCACAGCATTTCCAAAGGGGGTGGAGCCAGAAGACAGAAGGATGGGCTCATGGCTCCAGAGTGTGGTCCTGGCACAAGACTGATGTGGATCCAGGGAAGGGAGCTCTGATGTTGAGATGTCAGACTCTCATTGCAGAGCGTCTGCAAATGGATAATGACAATATCGTTTGCCTAATATTGGAATTAAGCAAATTAGCCAGCTGGCAATTACATTAAATGACGAGATTGGTTTTGAAAAATAGCCATTTGCTAAACTGCAGTCAGCCAAACAGAAAACGATCAATTTCCTGAATACATTTTGGCCTATGTTGAAGGTACGAAGGAGTGAGCATCAAGCCACCCTGAGAACACTGGGCCTTTGATCCAGCTCACTGTGTGCCAGGAAACGTGTGAATTGCTTTGCATATATATGGTAAAGAAGGGGAGAAGGGTTGGCCCCTGCAGTGGGCTGGATGGTGGCTCCCAAAAAGTTCTGTCCCTGTTCGAACCCCTGGAAACCTGCGAATGTGGCCTGATTTGGAAAAAGGGTCTTTGCAGATGTAATTAAGTTGAGGATCTTGAGAGGAGATCATCCTGGATTGCCTGTGTGGGCCCCGAATGCAAAGGCAAGTGTCTTTATAAGAGATGGAAGAGGAGACACAGACACACAGAGGAGAAGCTCATGTGATCATGCAGCCAGAGCCCGGAGCGATGGAGCCACCAGAAGCTGGAAGATACAAGGAACAAGATCTCCCCTCCAGCCTCGGGAGGGGAAGATGGGCCCCGCTGCTCCTCAAGCTGGACTTCTGGCTCCGAAACAGAGAGCAAATTTCTGTTGTTTGAAGCCACCCAGTTTGTGGGAATTTATTGTGGCAGCCCCAGGAAACTAATACGGGCCTTGAAAATTAAATTACTAAAATCTGCAAACAAGGAGTGGGTGATTAAACTGAAGTGAACGTTAGCACTGTCTGTTGGTTTAGATCAGCCAGCCCTTCAACTGGGTGAGGCAGGACGGGAAAAGCGTGAGGTGTTACGAGAAGGTTCAGTGAATGGAGGGCAGCAGCCTGCAAGGGATGGGTTGCAGAATCCTGAGGTTCTGTGGGAGAGTCCCCGAATGTTTGATTTGAAGTTCATTTATCAGATATGTCTAAGTATTTGCAAATTGTCCTGAAAACCTCTCTCTCTCTTTCTCCCTCTTTCTCTCTCTCTCTCACACATACGCACACACACTCACACCCCCTCACTCAATGTGACCAACTCTTTACCCATCAGAGCCCACCAACACGTTGACTTGTCCTGACAACTAACGTGATTTAATGTAAACCTTAGTTTAAAGCTTTTGCCATCTCTATGACAAACTTTTTAACAACAGTTGCCATTTGCAATTAATTGTCTCTGTGAATCAGAATTTCCTTGATACTCTATAGCCAGGGAAAAAATTGGAAAATAAGGCTGATATGAAATTGTCAACTATGACTTTCAATTTTTAATTGCATCCAGGCCTGAAGCTGTGTCATCCTTAAAGAAATACAACTCAGATAGTAATTTCCAGCTTTATTTACATCTTTCCAAAACATTTAAGTATTTGGTCCATAATGATTTTTACTGAAATATCCATGTGTGTACCTAGTCTTTAACAGTGAAATTCCTGGGAAGCTCCTGCTTTCCTAGCTCATTGTGCCCCCACCTTAGTCCCTGCCCAACCCCTCCCCTCACCGTGAGCCCCGGCCACACAGAGGTGCCCTGATGAGTGGCTTTCATTGCTTTCTTTGTCTTCTATTTTGAAAATCCCCCTTCTTGGCTTTTGTCGCTTGTCAGAGAGTGAGGAAGCGTGAAGGCTGTGCAAGGCCCCGAGTTAGTAATTTTCATCCTGTCCCATCATGTTATACATTGGAATCCATAAAATACATTTATACCTATAAATCACCGCTTCTGTCTATTGTATAGATAATTGTCATGTATTGTATTTTATTTAAAGGCCAGGTGGTCACTGCTAAACTCGCCTTGGAGAGAGGAAGCCTGGATTATCTGTCAGGTCCAGGGGGACGATGCTCCATTGGGCCCCCAGCTTCATGGGGCTGCTACCTTGGTCTGGAGGTAAGACCCCCCCCCCCCCCACCACTGCCCACTCCTGTGCTCACAGGGTACAGGCTCACCAGGCACCATTCCTAGGACTTGGCATTCTGGATATTCCAGCCAGAAATCCTTCTGGGGAATCAATTAATTTCAGCCCCTTGAAAAGAGCACCCTCCATGTGAATAAATCATTTGGCAGTTCTGAGTTTAATCACATGAGTCGGCTTCCCAGAGTCGTCCAGTTGTGACACATGCACACGACTCTGGGCCAGCCAAGAACCATGGGACATTTGCGTTTGGAACGCCACCCTGGGGCTTCCTGGTGAAAGCCCAAATTGTCAGCACCCTTTGTCAACTTTCATCAAAGTGGAACCAGATGATAAACAACATGAGCGTTAGCATTAGTTGGTCAAGAGTGGAACACTTCGGCACAAGCCACCCAGCTTCAGGCAAACCACCACCAGGCACAGACTTGTGTGGTGAGGGACGCTCTCCAGGAGAGACTCGGCCCAGGGGGAAAGGCCCCTCAGCACCCAAGCTGAATATCGCAGCTCTTCTCCCTGGACGCTGGGCTGCTGCCTGGGGCATCTGTCTCATCTGTGGCGTGGGTCTCGAGGGAAGCTTTCTGGCCTGTCTGGAGCCTTGAAAGAGTTCCGGGTCCAGGGGGTCTGAGAGTGGGTTGGGTGAGACTGCCTTCAAGGAGGGTGTCTGGATGAAGCTTGCCCATTCGCTAGTCTCACCACAAACCAGCTCTCTTAGGGAGACGCATTCCACTCCTTCCAGGGAGCGCTCTGTGGTTCTGGGTGCCGAGGGAGAGAGTCCCGTGCTTGTCCACGAGGCTGCTCGGCAGACACAGATCTTGTAAATGAAGCCAGAGTGCAGATGATGACCCGGGGCTGCCCGGCTTCTGGATTATGGCAGAGAAAACGTGTGCTTTAAAAAGGCTGGGATATCCTCAGGTTCTCTTCTCTCTTTATGACAACTGCAATGTCTGTTGTCTGAAACCTGGAAAGGGAGCCACCCCCTGAGTGTGCTCAGCCTTCTGAGAGATGGGGCGTTGCTGTGTTGCCGCTTGCTCAATTGGCTTTGAGATTGGTTGGCAACTCCAAAATGGATCTGAAAGTGCAGTTGCCTCCTCGGTTCCTAGGATCAGGTTCCTATCAAAGCCCAGCAGGCTTTGAAAAGAGCTTAAAAAATTCCCTAATGCTGGCAAGAAGTCAATATTCTAACTAGCATTCAAAGCAAACAGAAGTTTCCAAGCAAAAACCACCTGTCCCAGGATAAGGGGTCTGGATTTTCCCCTTCAGACCTCTTTTGGAGAGTAAGAGCAACGCACGCTTTAAATTTATCAGAGCATCTTTCAAACATTCAAAGGCAATTTGTGGGGCTTGGGAACGTCACTCTAGAGTCCAGCTCTTCTGTGTCCCATGGGGTAGAATGTTATGGGCTTTATGGTTTGAAGATGATGGCTCCAGGAGGACTCCAGATGCTGGCACCTGTGCCAACTCCTCCCAGCTCCACTCCCACGGCAGACATCACCAATCGATTACAGTGTCTCTCCCTGACTTGCATACCCTTCCCAACACCCTCAGCGAAGCTCTTGGCCTGTTTGCCTCTCAGGGCATATTAGTCAACACTGAAATAGGTGCCGGGGATGCAACGGTGAAGCAAAAGAGAAACAGTCCTGGCTCTGGTGGAGTTTGCACTCTAAGGGGGCCCTGACATGGTGAGCGGCCCACAGGAGTAAATGCGCGATTGCACCAGTGGTAGGAGAGAGATGTGGTACTAGGACTGCTTATCCTGGGGTCGCAAAGGAGCGACAACTGAGTTCTAGGGGATAGGTAGGGGGGAGAGGGGAGGTGTGCCTAGAAGCTGCAGGCAGAAGGCAGGGCCAAAGCATGGAAAGGCCAGTGTGGCTGTAGCAGAGACTGGCTGTGAATTCAGAGAGCTGAGAGGACCAGATCACATGGCTTCATAGGCCACGTCGAGGACTGTTGTCTCCACCGAGAAAGGAAAAAGCAGGCCCTGTCCAGAGCTGGCCTGGCCCCCAGAGCTGGCCTTGGTGTGGGTGGGAGCTGGCCTGGCGCTCCCAGCCAGGCCCTGCTGTCCTGTGGACACAAATACCCTTACAGAGTGCCAGCACTGGGCAAGATCACCCTGCGGCCAGGATGAAGTGCCACAGAGCAAGGCCACCCCATATTTGTGTCTAAGCACGGACACCAACAAGGTGGTTGCGCAAACCACAAAACAGCAAAGGTCCTCACTCTGTTACAATGAGTGACTGACCCTCCTCACCTTGCTGGAGGCTACCCTGCCTGGGGACAGCATTTGTAGGGACACTCAGTCGTGGTGCTGTCCCTGCTTCCTGATGGCACCCAATCTAGAGCAAAGTCCCGCTTCCTGGGACCCTCCCAGAAGTCATGACACAAGCCAGCCTCAGCCCTTTCTAACCCCCTCCGCCCAGTGCCCCTTGGTTGCCCTGGGTGTCTGGCCTCCCTCTCTGCACGGGGCGATGTGCTCGCCTGGCTTCTGGAGGTGTTCCCAGGAAGCCCGGAGTTGGGGCTCCCCCTCCTCCCCTTGCTCAGGCTCCGATGCCTTCCCATCAGTGAGCAGAGCAGGCAGCCAGGGAGGTATTACTTGGCGGCTACTGTCATTGTGATCTCACATGGGCTCCCCTAGACCAGAAGGCTTTTGTTAAGGGACTCTCTTTTCTGGGCACTGAGTTCTCCAGGAGACCCCCACCCCCACACTCCCTGGGGTAGGCTCTGCTCAGTGACCTTGACCCCAGGGAGCACATTTCCATTAAAGTTGACACCTCCAGCTTCTCTCTATCTGGGCCCCTCAGAAAGTATCCATCGGATGTGGCCCATGACACCCAACCTTTGGCCTAACTTTGGGGGTCTGCCCTCCCCTTCACCCTGCTGCCAGCAGTACACGAGCCACCGAGTGCCCTCTGACTTTCCAGGCGGGCGTCGAGGCGCTGCGTGCCCTGCACTGCGGGGAAGAAGATGAAGATTCTGAGGGGCCCTCTCAGGCCCTGCTTCCGAGATCTGGGGTGAAGGGGAAACACCCTCTACTCTTCTCCTTTGGGGTTAGAGAGGGGACTCACAGGACTTCAACGGCTCTTTCCAAAACTCCGCTTCTTATCCCCAACCGCTGCCCGTGCTTTAGACCCTCCGTGTGTGAGGAGTTTGCACCCTTCAGAGTTTCAGCTGGAAAGTGGATCTATCGTCTTGGTGCTTCAGAGGAAACTTCTACAATATTCAGATGGACGGGGCTCTCAGCCCCTCGACCACAAGGCTGTTCCAGCCTGAGCAGGTCAGTTCTGGGCAGTCTGGGAGCGGGAGGAGGGGTCCGCAGAACTCTTCCTGTCCCCGCTTTCTGCCTTCGCTTCTCAGGGGTACCCTGCCCTGGAATGAATGAGCTCCGCAAATACTCATCTCTGGGCAGCTGCCAAGTCTGGCCCCACTCCAGAGGACCGAGTGCTTGCATCTGTCCCACTTCCCTTGGCATGAAGGCCCCTGGCTGTCAGGGTGGGGCAGAGCTCCAGAGCCAGCCTTGGTGCTGGGACCCGGCCGAGCGAGGAGCTGCGGTGCCCAGGCCACATGGCGTTCCCTGGTGAGGAGACGATGTGATGGCCACCAACACCCTTGGAACCCGTGTCGGCCCCAGTGCGAGTCAAGTGGACCCCTGCTGTCCTCCCGAGAAGTGTGACCATTTAGTCTGAGGGGAGGGACAGTGGCATCCTGAACCCCCACAGTGGCTGAGAAGGCTTCCAGCTGCCCAGCTGCCCTCTCTGCCCAGGAGGAGACGCTATGCCAAGGCCCAGCTGTGGGAGAGTCTGCGTTTCCCGTGCCATCCACTTGGAAAGGGCCTTCGTGCAGTCAGGGACTGGTGTGATGGGGAGAAGGAGCCCAGTTTTCTTCTTGGGCGTTCCAGCCAAATCAGGCTTGTTGAAGCCCTTCCCTGACTGCCAAGAGGGAGACCACTGCCTCCAGCCGGGAGTGCAGGATGCCCATTCTCACGTGGATTCTCGTCCATTGGAATCTGGAGACAGGCCTGGACTTGGAGCCTTCTGCTCGTTGTCTGACCACAGGCAAGCCACTCCACCTCTCTGAGCTTTGGTCTTCTCGTTTGCACAATAGGCAACTGGAAGTGAAAGTATGGTGAGTAGTTTCTAGACACCGGGCACTGCGTCAGGGGCTCTCGCACTTGTGTTCGTCATAAGCTCCGTGGCTGCCACATAGGTGGTGACTATGCCGGGGACCACTGTCTGGCCCCAGAGGTGACTTATTCTCTTTATTCTGCTGCGAAACCCTCAGCCCCTCAACTGCAGAGATTGCTCCTTCCATTCTTGGCGCTCAGCCCTGTGACTCCCACATGGAAGGTTCTTGACTAGATGTTGCATGGATGCATACTAAGTGGGAGGGAGCTCACTTCTGGCTTTCACACATCAAATTAAATTTTCATGAACTCATGAATCAACAAGAGAAACTAAGCAGCATTTTACTGAACACCTACTATGTCTGATGATTTACATGGGTTTTCTTATTTAGTCTTCACAGTAATCCTGTGAAGTACTCTCTCTTCCGTTTTGCAAGTTAGGAAATTGTGGAAGCTCACGCCTTGTCAAGATTAGTCAACATGTAAGAGGGAGGAGCAGGATTTGAATTGGAGTCTGATCCCTCGGACTGTGCTCTTTGCATTCCACCAGGCTGCCAACAGGGAGACGCCTGCTAGACCGTGGTTGTTACAAAGCAGAATCGTGGTCTAGCAGGGGGAATAATGCATCCCAACCAGCGTCAGAAGGAGGCGCCAGCAGAAGGCCCGCTGCTCCCACGGGCTAAGGGGATGAATGACGGAGGCCAGGACCTTCCCAGGGCGTGCCTGCAGGCTTCTCCACCTAGACTGTCGTGGCCCAACCTCAGGCCAGCCCAGGCAACAGCGAGGCAAGGCCCGGCCTGGGTCTGCCGCCTCTCAGCCCATTGGCCCTGTGGATGCTGCGTTGCAAAACCACACTGTTTTGTTCTGACTTCCTCTTGGGTTCCCAGGAAGTTTATTTACAGAAGTAAAATTGCCTCGTAACGTAAAAAAATATTTTTTTTGCTGTGGTAAAATATACACAACACAAAATTTACCATTTTAACCACTTAATGTAAAAATGTACAACTGCATGGTGTTAGTTCACAATGTGCACATTCCAGATGTTGCATAGCCATCACCGCCATTTGTCCCCAGAACTCCCTAACGGAAGCTCTGTACCTATTAAACACTAATTCCCCCCCTCCCTCTAGACTCTGCTGATCTCTTGTCCGTGTTTTGTCTCTATGAATTTGCCTACTCTAGGTATGTGTGTAAGGGAGTCATACAGCATTTGTCCTTTTGTGACTGGCTAATTTCACTTAGTATAAAGTCTTCAGGGTTCATCCGCGGTGTAGCATGTCTCAAAAAGTGTTTCTTTTTTAAGGCTGAATAATATTTCATTCTGTATATATATCGCATTTTGTGTATCTATTCCACTGTTGATGGGCACTTGGGTTGTTTCCATCTTTTCACTGCAGTCACGCATCACTTAGTGACCAGGATACGTTCTGAGAATGTGTCGTTAGGTGATTTCCTGGTTGAGTGAACATCGTAGAGTGTGCTTACACAAACCTGGACGGTATAGCCTACTACACACCGAGGCTGCACAGTACTAATCTTATGGGACCACTGCCATATACGCAGTCCGTCATTGACCAAAACATAGCTATGTGGCTCATCATTATATTGTGAACAATGCTGCTAGGAGCACGGGCGCACAAATGCCTGTTCAAGTCCCTGCTTTCAATTCTTTTGGGTACACACCTCGGAGTGTGATCACTGGGTTGTACTGTAATTGTAGGTTTAATTTTTTGAGGAACTGCCACACTGTTTTCCACAGCGGCTGCACCATTTTACATTCCCACCAAGAGTGCACAAGGGTTCCAGTTTCTCCACATCCTCGCCAACACTTGTTATTTTCAGTTTGTTTTTTATAATAGCCACCCTAAAAGATGTGGTTTTTGTCTCTTAATTTTTTAAAATCCTCATATCCAATTAAAAAATATAATTGTCCTTTTTTACCTTATTTATCATCATTTTTTTATTACATGTGCAGTACCTTAACATATTCTTTAGAGAAAAGTATGAAGAAATGGAACAATTGGGTGCAAGGGTGCATAGATTTAAATGTTTAATGGCTGCTGTCAGATTGCTCCCCGAGGTGGCTGTTCCTGTTTACCTTCCACTGGCAGAGTATGAAGGGCGAAATTTCCTCACATCCTCGCTAACATTGATGCCATCACTCTTAACATTTTGACAATCAGTTTGGCAAAAAGTGGTGCCTTTCATGACTAGATTTCCAAGATCTCCTCATTCGATATGGCTTGGTCCCCACAGCTTGCCCTTGGCAAGAGCAGAAACAGTGTGGCCACTTGGCAACAGCTCCCCTCCCCTCTGCTTGGCTGCCCCGTCTCCCCTCTCTCTCAGCCCTGCCGATGGATGCCCATGAGCTGCCCAGGATCCTCCTTCAGACTTGGAGGTGCCTCTGTGGAGGGGCAAGCACAGCGGCCTTTGGAGACGGCACCAGCTTGGCTGGGTGAAGTGGGGCCTGAGGAGGGCAGTGCAGCCCTGTGAGGGAGGGGGAGAGCCTGGAGACGTGGCTGCTTAAACCGGGGGCCACGGTGAAAGCTTGGGAGTTAAGAGACCATGGTAATCCCTGGTCAGTTCAGCTGGCCTCCAGCTTTGCCCCTGCGAGAGGCTCAGGATATAGTGATGGGAAGGAACCTCCAGCCGGGCCTATGCTGACTTGATTTCTTTTGAGACAAGAGAAGCTGGAATTCTGCCATAATTGTCTCCATTCCTCACAGAGAAGTCTGGAGTCATGTCCCACACAGCTGGATTAGTGCTGCTCTTTGGTCTGATGTGACAATTAAGTGAATGTGTGTGACAACATGAAATCGTGACAAATGACCCCCTCCACTCCCCTAACTTTGCAGAGAAAAGAAAATATGGCAACCGCATCAGATTACAGGCAAAGAACTCAATCTTTTAACCTCATTCCTCCATGAAAGCTGCTGATTGAACAAAGTGGACAAATCCTGGCAGGACGCTTTGGGCTCAGGCGGGAGCCATGCACGGGTCTGGGAACCTGCAGGGTTTCTGTCGGAACGCATCGACTCTCTGCCTGGGTTTGCCCTTTCAGGCCGTCTGCAAGTGATGCCGTGTCCTGGAGCAGCATTTTCAAAAGCCGATTTGGTTCAGGCTTTTTAAAAATCAAAACAAAACAAACACCCACCCCTGCTGTGAGGAACGACAACTTTTTCCCAGGCTTGGGAGCCAGTGAGCCTCGCGGCCAGGTTGCCTCGGTGACGACACATTTTGAGTTGGCTGCTCCTCTGGGCCTTTGTTTCTCATGTGCACAATGGCGGTGGGAGAAGGTCAAGGTCATTTTCGGCTGCACATTCTGGGAGGCCAAACCCACCCCTCGGGCCTCTCTGCTGCCCATTAGCCCCCTGGCGGGCATCACATGGGGGAGAATAATGGGGTCTGTGTTGCAGGGTTCCCAGGGCCCCTTGCCTGGGAACAGATCTTCTGATGGCCTAGGAAGGCAGCTGCTGACCACCCCGGGGCCCCATCTGCTGTGGGCCACTTGAGCCCCTGGAGCTGGGAACACTTGTCCAGGCTGCCCAGCCCCCTACCCAGTCCCACCTCCACAGCCACAGGGACCTGCTGTCCTTTTCCCCTTTCCTGGAAACCTCCGTCCATCCCTCGTCCGCTCCCAAGCAGTCAGAGGAGCCGATGGAGAGGAGGGCAGAGCCCAGGCAGGAACAAGGGCAAAGTGAAGCCCTGTTCCCTCTCTGAGTTTCCCATCCCACAGAGGCAGTGTTTTGCCTTCAGGTCCCTTGTGAGGACCGGTTGCTGCTGTAACCCATGACTTGAGCCTCCATTCATCCATCAGGCTCAGGAATGCTGAGCGCAGCCTGGCAAATCCAGCCCTGGAGCTCAGCCAGTGACAGCGGCCAGTCGTTGGCCGCCAGCGCCTTCCTCGGCCCCCGGGAGACGCACGCCAGCTCTGCCTGGCAGGGCCTGCCCACATTACTTCCCTGGGCCGGGCTGTGCAGCCTCCTAGTTGAGCTGCCCTGTAGGAGGCTCACCCGTGGCCCTGAGCCTGGGTCATTATCTGCTAAAGAGGGGGCACCTCTCCAAAGGACCTGTGGCGTCACAGTCCCAGCAGCATCCAGGAAAGGCAAAGGACAGGAAGGGTGAACTGACATAGCTTTCAGAACGCTCCTTGGCCACCCCTTCCAGTTTCCATTGCTGTGTAATGAGCCACCCCAAAACTTAGCAGCACACAACCCTCTTCCCATACGCATGATTCTTTGGGTCTGGAATTTGGGCAGGGCGTAGCAGGCTGGCTTGTCTCTACCCCGTGAGGTCTGAGGCCTCGGGCGACAGCTGAGGGTGACCAAACAGCTGGAATCATCTGAAACAGCTTCCCTCATGTTTCCCCCACATGATGCTGGCTGTCGGCTGGGTCCTTAGCTGGGGCTGTTGGTCAGTGTCTACACACGGCATCCCTGTGGCTTGGGCTCCTTCACAGTGTGGCAGCCTCATCATCGTCATACTTCTTACCTGGCTTGGGGCTCCAGAGGTGAGCGCCCAGCTTCATTGCCGTTTCTGAGCTTTGGAAGTCACATGGCATCATTTCCACCACACTCTACTGATTACAAGCAAGTCACAAGTCCTCCAGATTCAAGGGAGGGGACACAGACCTCTCTCTTGATGGGAGGACTGTCAAGGCCAATCATAGAAAAACACACAGGATGGAGATACAGTTGTGGCCATCTTTGGAAAGCGCAATGGGTCTCACCACTCATGGGCTCTCCTTCCCTCTCCACCCCGGCCGCTTTCCGGCTGCACAGACCACCTTGGCTGGACCTCCCCAGTGCCTTTTCCCCTCCTGACGGCTGCGGGGCAGGTTCCCCACAGGCCCACTGGGCCACACAGCACGGGGAGGCCCCTGCACCTCTGCCTTCTCACTGCGCCCGGGCTAAAGAGGCAGATGCAGGGTTAACCGGAGCTCAGAGCCACTTGGTTTAGTGGAGGGTCCGTGGCTGCCTGGGCCGGCCAGCCCCCCTTGGTGTCCGAGGCTGTTACATGGCTTCGGGCCTTGTGTTTCTTGGCTCTCGACCTGCAGCTCTGGAATGAGGGCAGCCAGGCAGAGCGTCACCCTGGAGCCAAGCAGCCTGTGTCCCCAGAGCCCCCCAGTGGCCCAGAGGGTCTTCTGTGGATGGCCGCCCCTTGGTGGCTGTGGTTCAGGGGTCTCGGGCCCTATTTGTGTAAAGGGGCAGGTTGTCCTCTGTGGAAGCCGGTGTCTGTGGGGCTGAGACGGAGGGAACCGCACATGTGCTCCCTGCTGTCTTTGGTGGTTGAGAGACTCCGAGGCACTCAGCTGAGCACAGTGCAAGGATTAGTAGGTCCCAGCTGTGAGAACTGCGGGCCTTTGTACTTCCAGAAGCTACTTTTGTCGAGAGAGTCTCGCAGGAGAAGTTTTCTCGGGACTTCCAGACTCCCCCTTCCACTCTTTGGCCTGCTACCAATGTGCTGCTGACCCTCAGACCCGCGCCGTCCCCGGAGTGGACACAGGCCCCACTCAGGACACAGGGCCTGAACCTGGCCATGAGGCCACATGCCAGAGATGAGAGCATGTGTGCGTGTACACACACACACATACACACACGCTTACATACACATGCACACACATGCCCTCACATGTGCATACATACCCACACACCACACAACACCCCCCATACACACCCCCCCACACCATACAGACACACTCCATCACACACACACACACATACATCCCCCATCCTCCCCCACACCACATGCATACATTCACACACCACCCACCCACCACACCCACAACACACACTGCATGCGTAGGTACACACAACACATATCACATACCATACTACACACGCCATACTTCACATGCCACATGCACACATGTACACCATACACTCCCCCCACCCCGACATATGCACACATACACAGAAAAGCATCTTCATAAGCCTGTGGCATATGCAGAAAAGCCAAGTTACATTCTTAAAAATTGCTATTACACGAGGAATGCAAGATGTCGATTACAAGGTTCCAAGAAGTCCGGAGAAGAGACTGCCCCGCCTCCCCTCCGGTCGGCCCCCAGGCACGCCAGGCTCCTTTGGGCCTCTGCCTGCCCCAGCAGCTAGGGTGTCTGTATTTACATATGTCCACACTCAGCCACAAGGGTTCCTTCTTCCCCAGATGGGATCATACTTGGGAATACTTGGTAAAGTAAACTCATCAAGCCCACAAACTCTTTTCAGAGGGCCAGGAGCCCAGGGCCTCCATTTTTCCACAGGCCCTGTGGAGGCTGGGCCTGACAGACAGACAGAGAGCAGGGGCTGGGCCTCTTGGAGCGGGGCGCCCCCTGGCCGTGGGTGAGGGAAGTGCTCCCAGGAGCAGGGTGAAATTGCAGGAGTGGGGATGGGAGTGGCTGTAAGAAATAGGGATGGAGAGGCTGCATTGACTCCTCTCCTCTCCAGGGCTCCAAGGAGGGA